TAATATAGGGGTATAAAAACCTTTATTTAGTTCCTTAAGAATTATATATAGTAATTAGAATAGTCTATATACTATAGATAGGGATACTTTATTAGCCTACTACTTCTAAAAGAAGAGTATTATATTTAGCTTAATTAAAGTAATATTTCTAAATAAATTTATAACTAATAAGGTCTATCTCTATATAGATATTAATATCTATATATATTTTAATATTATTTTAGATATAAATCAGAATATAGAGATAGATAACTATTCCTACTTAAGGCTAAGAGTTAGAACTTATAGAGGCTAGTTTAACTCTAGTATTTTTTCTAAGTCTTTTAATTAAGTATTATTATAGTATGTAAGACTGTACGTCTTACTAGGCTCAGGGAAGTAGAAGGTAGATCAGATGATCCAATAAGAGGCTGTTGGTTGTTAATAGATAGGATGATTGATGTATTGCATGGATGTGTATGATATTAGGATTGCAGGAGATTGAGATGCTATTTATCCCTGAGGTTTAGCAGGCCTCAGGCCACCATTATTAGTAATTATAATGGTCACACGACAATAAGTCGTCGTAATGTATTAATCATGATTGGCATTGAATGGTAATTGATTATATAGGTTGCCATAGTTAGCACCATAGTCAATTATGTAGGTGGCAGAGTCAATTATGTAGGTGGCAGATGGCCAGAGTTGTCACAGCATCCAGATAGTTTGCCACTATCGATCAGGTTCCATGAGGTTCCATTAGGCTCGATAGGCTATTGCTATATATTCAGATTTAATAAGACAGGCTTTATAATAGGCCTTATATCCTTACAGAAGGTAGTAACTTAAGCAGAATACTACGGTCAGAGATGTCTTCTACAGCCAGGAAATTATAAATAGGTTATTATTATTAAAGTAATCTATGCTGATAGTTATTTACTACTGCTGTATAAAATTTTTAAGGATAAAGTAGCTATAGCAGATTAGTTTAAAAACCTACTACAAAACTGGTGATTTAAGGTCTCTAATAACGGCTGGACTACTGACATAATTAGCCTATATTAGCTACAAAAGCTTTTTATCCTATTAACGAATTTGTATATATACGGCTGATTTCACCTACTGATTCTTAACGGCTATAGTAGCCATCTTTTGCCCTAATTTAACTAGGATTTTGATAGACATACCCCCCCCTTATTATAACGTAATTCCCGCCCGACCGGGTCACCCTCCCGACCGGGTCAACCCATCTAAAATCACGTCTTCCTACCAATCTACCTAATTTAACCACCTACCATGCCACCAAAACGCACTGAATCCTCGCAGAAGTCAGCTCATCAAGAGGGCAAGATCTTATTAGCCCTTGACGATATTCAAAATAGCCGTATCAAATCTCTACGCACGGCAGCCAAGCTATACAAAATACCCTTCTCTACACTGTAAGTGCATGCTGATGGTCAAACCTCATACGTTGATAAACGCCCAACTGGTCATAAACTGACCCAATTAGAAGAGGATTCACTTACTGAATAGATACTCTCTATAGATATACATAGAGCAGCGCCTAGGCCTGCTACTATAAGAGAGATAGCTAATACCCTACTGGCTACACATAGTAACCAACCTCCGCCTACTGTTAGCAAGAATTAGCCATCAAAATTCATTCAACGTCACAATAAGCTTTATACATACTACTCAGTACGATACAATTACCAACATACATTAAACAAAGACCCAAAAGCTCTATAAGCCTGGTTTACAACTATACAAAGTATAATTAACAAAAACAGAATACAAGCAGAGGATATCTATAACTTTAATAAGATAGGCTTTATAATAGGCCTTATATCCTTACAGAAGATAGTAACTCAAGCAGAATACTACAGTCAGAGACATCTTCTATAGCCAGGAAATCATAAATAGGTTACTGCTATCAAAGCAATCTGTACCGATAGTTATTCGCTAACGCCGTATATAATTTTTAAGGGTAAAGTAGCTATAGCAGATTAGTTTAAAAACCTACCATAAAACTAGCGATTTAAGGTCTCTAATAATAGCTGGACTACCGACGCAATTAGCCTATATTGGCTACAAAAGCTTTTTATCCTATCAATAAATTTGTATATATACAGCCAATTTCGCCTACTGATTCTTAACGGCTATAGTAGCCATCTTTTGCCCTAATTCAACTAAGTTTGTGCAGCAAACAATATTATACCTCTTTGTATACCTTTGTATACATTATATCTACTATAACCACTAGATATTAGCTGCTTTATAGTTATTAAGAGAGCATATAGCTATTTTGTTAGCGATCTTGCATATAGGGGATACAACCATATCAACAGTATGATTTTTTAGAGAACTATCAATACATACGGCTAGAGGCTTTCTAAAAGCCAGCTATTATTCAGAATAGCTTCGTAGCTAGTGGCCTAGTACCAGTCAATACAGAAAGAGTACTTTCAAAGCTCAATATCTCTCTATAAACTCTGTTACCACTAAACAGCCAGCCAAGCAGCAGATCAAGCTAATCTACGCCAAAAACACCTAGAACTGTCGTTCAGCTACAAAAGCAAGTTTCAATACTTAAGGATCTATTACACCGGCGGTCAAATAGCCCTCCGAGCCCATCAAAAACTATATTTAATCGGATTATCAAGGGCCACTGTAAAGCGCTATACAATACTGCATTACTTACACAGGAGAACGCAAATCTACATATAACGAACGAGAAGATAGTTAAGAAACGTAATCAGTCAACTAGGCAGATACCCTGCGAAGAGGGATTAACTGTTAAAGAGGGCCTACAGCTACTTACACAGCTAGATTTGCTAGCAGAAGAAGCTGTAGTAGATTCGCATACACAGGGCGAACTGCCTAGTCATACAGATAGGCAGGCAACTAGGGCTCCGCCTAGGTATAGTGGGTATAGGGAGATTGGCCATAAGATTAATAAATGTAAAAATCGCTATATCTAGTTGAATTAATAGGTGTTGGCTGCGATAATCGATTTTAAACTTCTATAATGGGGTTAGGTGACCCGGTCGGGGAGGTGACCCGGTCGGGCGGGAATTACGTTACTTATACCCCCCTGATTAGTCATACCCGCTTGGGCCCAGATTTCAAGGCAGACATTCCCCTTTAGGCTTAGCCTACCCTCCCGGAGCGTCTTAGTCATCGCCGCCCCTCGTGACTCTCCTGTATACTGTATACTGTATAAAGGATATAGTATATACTATATAGTATAAAGCATACTGAAAAGTGTCTTAATACGTTTGTATTAGGAAACTGAGTAACTAGTACTAGCCTCTATACTCTGAATCATCTGAACCGACAATAGCGCCTGCGTCAAGACTACTCTCGCTATCCTCACTAGTCTCCGCCACGATCTCTATCTCCATCTCGCTCCGGGCCTGACTACGCGTTTGTATACCTTCCGATCGAGTATCTCCTTGCTTAATTAGGAGGGTTTGACTGTATTAGGCCTAAGATAAGGTTGTACGAGCTCTGCGGCTACGGCCACGGCTATGACCGCTTCCACGACCACGACCACGACTACGACCACGACTACGACTGCGGCCGCGGCTGTAAACAACATCTGACATATGCTCAGATACAGATATCTTACGCTGAGTTAAACGCTCGAAGGGGGTTAGTTGTGGCTCGGTAGGAGTTTGCTGAGTTGCCGGGACCTGAATTAAATAAGTTACAGCAGTCGAAGCCGCTGAAGGTTGTGTCGGCTGGGATTGGAGGTTATTCTGACGGCCAGCTGGTCTGCTACAATGGTGAACTTTGTGAGGATCCTGCACTAGAAGAATCGGATTAATTGGCGGGGCAGTCCTATGACTGTAAAGATACTACTGCGGATAGAAGTTATCCAATGAGAGAGGCTCTTTGGTCTCCATATGTTGAACAATGATATAGATATAAGGATATCCTAATGTATTCTGTAAATTACAGTAGTAATTAGGCAGAATTAGAGGCTTATCTTTACCCGGGGAAAGTAAGTCATATATTGCTTTAATATATCCGATAACCTTTAAGGAAACGTATTTGATAATTAGCTGATAGATCAGGTAGAGTATACGACAGGGCCGTTTATCACGCTTATCTGTAATCTCTTTTTGAATTCTTTTATATTGGTGATCGACAACTTGCTTAAAAGTACAGAGAACTGAGAGTATATCTATGGTTGATAAGTAAAGATCTTGCTTTAAGAGCCAATAAGAAGACTCAGTACGCAATGTTGAAGCTTCTCTAAGATGTAGATACTGATTAGTGTGTAACTTAAGGAAGCTCTCCGGATAATTATTAATCTATTCCTTCGTGATGTATGTTAATAAGCTTTTGAAGATTAGTAAGCTATATTTCTCCTGGAACCGTACCTATACGGTATCGAATTCAGCTGAGGAGGATGTATAAATAAGGCGATTCTATCGCTTTATTATCTTATTCTAACCCTTATCAAGAACCTTGGCCAGAGCCTTATTAAGTTTCTGTTTGGTTAACCGATTAGTAGCTATAGGAAGCCTGAGGCTATCCTATTCTAGAAGACTAGTCTTATACGCTTCGGTAATAGCTTTGCAGATAAGCGGAAGTGTATGCTTCATTAAGTTTATATTGATATGCCATATGCAGACAATAGTATTAGTGCCTAGAAATACAGCATAAACTGTATTAATCAGGCCTGATTCTTTGTCAGTAAGAACAGTATACGGTACTGATAGAAAGGATGCCTTAGTTTGCTGGATATAGGTATATATCTCAGCAAGATAGTCTATAATAAGGGTATAGGTTTCTTTCTTTTTATTGGTCATAAATACCCAGCCGAGATAGATCAATGTACCAGTGTATATAAAGCCGATAATATCTAGTAAAGGCATATTGAACCGATTCGTTTTGTACGTACAATCCATAGAAATGACCCAGGGATAACGCTTCAACATTATAAGGCTATTCTGATATATGGCGAATAGAACAGTGATATAATTATCCAGATTAAGCTTATATCGGAATATCTATTTACCGTCTGTTAGAAGCTCTATAAGAAGTGCTTGGATCGGAGTACGGCCCTTAAGGAAGTCCTGATTAACCTTTGCGCGAAGGTTGTAGATATCGCGCTCGGTGACGTATGTATCAGGCTGCTGTAGCTGGGTTGCGGTCATAATCTGGCGGGTTGTCATGGGAAGCTGAAGCTGTAACTTAAGGGTCTCTTTATATTGCTGTATCTTACGTTTACGGTGGATGTGATGGGCAGATAGGTCCGACGGTTTGTGATTGTTGTGCTCTGGATTCTCAATGGTAAGTATCTATGGCAGATCCGGCGAGATAATTGGCTAGAAACGAAGTGTAACTTAGAACCTACAGCCATAGGTATGTATATTGGTTTTGCGCTTGTGTGATGTCTCCGAAATAGTAGACGCATACTCTCCACTGCGATTATATCTAGGCATCGCCAGAACCCACTATAACCCGGACCCAACCTAACCTAACCCAACCTAAAATGGGTTTTGGGTCGAATACTATAACCCATTGATAGGTTTTGGGTTATTACCTATAACCTAAAACCTATTTGGAAACCCAGTGGGTTCCTATTTTAGTATAAACAAGGTAAACAGGCCACTAAGGCTACTACTTATATAACTGTATAATTCTGTATTTCTGTGGCTATAATATTAGGTATTTGATTTCTAGTAATATAGCTCTTGATACTAGATATTTATTATATTTGTGAATTTATTAATTAAATTATATAGGTATAGGAGACAGTGATTAATAACTAGCAAGTAAATAAATTTAAAATCTAATAAATCTCAAAAATATCGTCAGTCCTAGCTTTACGCTTTCGTCCTGATATATAAATCTAGGATGGCTAAGATAGTAATAGAGGCTATAATAGCTGTAGCTTATTAAGATTATGACTACTTAATCTAGCTATCTTCTCTATCTCCTTAGTTATAGCTGGCTCTTCTTCCTTAGCTATAGCTGGCTCTTTCTCCTTATTATTACTAATATTATTAATCTTAACCTCCTCTGTATACTCTGTATCCTGTTCTCTAGCTGCCTTAATCTTATATTCTGAATATATAGCAATAGCCTATTGAGCCTAATGGAACCTCATGGAACCTGATCGATAGTGGCAAACTATCTGGATGCTGTGGCAACTCTGGCCATCTGCCACCTACATAATTGACTCTGCCACCTACATAATTGACTATGGTGCTAACTATGGCAACCTATATAATCAATTACCATTCGATGCTAATCATGATTAATACATTACGACGACTTATTGTCGTGTGACCATTATAATTACTAATAATGGTGGCCTGAGGCCTGCTAAACCTCAGGGATAAATAGCATCTCAATCTCCTGCAATCCTAATATTATATACATCCATGCAATACATCAATCATCCTATCTATTACCAACCAACAGCTTCTTATTGGATCATCCGATCTACCATTACTTCCCTGAGCCTAGTAAGACGTATAGTCTTATATATATAGAGTAAAATACTACTCTAGCTTCTTTATTTCTGCCTTCTAAAGGTTAAATTATATTAAATAAAGAAATAATATATACTCCTTGATAGTATCAGAATTTATATAACTATATTAATAGTAATATATATTATATACAGTATTAAAAAGCTGTTTAACACTAATACTAGTAGTAAAAATAGATAAAATATCTTAGATAAGCTAGATAATACTAAGGAAGTAGGTCTAATTCTCTTATCAGTACTATAGTAGCTCTATTTTAATTAGGTCTGATAAATATTAGAATATAATATAATAAAAGAGGATTAAAAAGTTAGAATATACTACTATCTAGATACTGACTGATTTTATCCCTAATTAGCTTTATAGTTTACTTTATCCTACTTAGTATCTTGTTAAGTCTAGAAGTAGACTTAGCCTAGGCTTAAGGATCTAGGGTAGACTGATTATTTAAGAAACAGCACTAATATAGAATTAATACTGATTAAAATAACCTCTGATACTCCTTATACTAATTAGTATCCTAGTTATCTAAGAGAAAGAACTAAAATCAGCTATTAGGAGCTAGTATTATACTGACAGTAAAGGTATATCTTTATATATAATCTATTTATAAATAGTAGATACTTAGTTTTTTATAATCAGTATCTAAGGCTATTAATATCTGCTGTTTCTATAGAATATACTTATATTTTAGCTATTCTTTTGTCTGTTTAAGATAACTAAAAAGTATATTATAAAGCTTAAAGATTAGATAGGTAGTTATATCCTTAGTTTTAGATAGCTCTGTTGTATAAAGAATAGCTAAGTAATATAAAGCAGATAGTTAATCTATTACTATTCCTTATTAGTTAAAAGTATCTTGTTATAGTTATATTCCTTATAGAATAGCTTAAAGAGAGAGTAAATTCTTTTAGTATAATAGAGCATTAAGAATATAGAGTTCTATCTAGTCTTTATATCTTAAACTAGCATAAGCTTAGGCTCTTTAGATTAGAATTATAGAAAGGTCTCTTAGTATTAAGGACTAGTATTGATATATATTGCCAGAAAACGTATTTTATTTAGTATTAATAAAATCTTATATTTCTAGGTATTCTGTTTTACTATAGTAGACTGCTGCTTAGTCTATTATATATTAGTATCCTTATTTTAAAGATTAGCTTTTAGCTTTCTCAGAAGATTATTTAAACTAAGCTATATTATATATATAAGACAGAAAATCTAGATAATAGTTATATTACTTAGTAGATTTTTCTAGATAGCTTCTATTATTATTCTGTTATTTATAGTATTATTAGTAGTAATACTATAGATCTAATCTTAGATCTAATATTTCTTTAGGATCTTAAGAAGTATATTACTTAGATTTAAACTACTATATATACTATATACTGGCTTAAATCTAAGTAGTATCTCTTAGTATATCTAATTTATATCTATAAAATAAACAGTTACTACTATAAATAACTAATTATAAGGTAATATCCAGTAATTAAGTATAAGTAAAAGCTTTGTATCTAAAGGAAGATTTTAGAGGATAGAATTCTGATATATTTAGATAATTAAGTATAGACAGTAATATATTGTTTTAACAGAGAATATAAAGAAGTCTAATAGTACAGAGTAGCTAATATAGATAATCTTATAAAATATAGGATTTTTAAATAGTTATAGAGATAGTTAATTAAGAGTAATAAACTAAAGTAACTTCTCTTCCTAGTATAATTATATAAAGAAGGTTTCTTTTATAATTTTATTCTAGAATATAAGATATATTAGTATTTAGTATATATATAAGATTCAGGACTATACTCTTACTTTTAGAAATTAGGTAATCTCCCCTTTTTTCTTCTGACCTATACTGATATAGATTATAGTTTTTAAATACTTAATTATTATTAAGGTTCTATAGTAGCCCTTTTGCTTTTAAAGAGGATTATATAGGTATTCTAGAATTTTAGTATATTATTTATATATAACCTTTAGTATACTGTTCTTAGCTAATATAACCTAATAGTAATCTTTCTAGATATCCCTATTATAGTTTAAATCCTATACTACTTTACTCTTTTACCTATAATCAGTCTTAATCTACTATTAAACCTAATCCTTATATATTATACTATTATATAGTAGATAATTCTTTCTATAGTCAGGGCTAACTTATTTAAAGGATAAAGGAATCAAAAAAGGATTAGTTTAGTAAAGAAAGTCAGGCTTACTATAAGGCTTAAGAGGCTTAAGAGTATTAATAAGGTATTAATTCTAACTATTAGCTAGTATAGTAATATTCTATAAAGGGGTTAGGTAACTAAAAGTCTCTATATTCTTATTATATAGTAATAGGAGAAAATCTAAAAATTAGCTTTAACTCTATAATATAGTTATTATTATAGATTTATAAAATTATAGTATAGTAAGGGATAGAGAATATAGAAAGAATAAATATCTATACTAAAAAAAGAGAGAAAAATATTTAGCTTAATAGATAGTAATTAATTATAAAAGAAGATAGATCAGAAGAAATATATAGCTATTCCTACTACTATAGCTAATTAGTTACTAATATAGATAAGATATAGTTAAATCTAGAAAACCTATCCAGACTAACCTATAATCTATTAATAACCTATTTATAATCTATTAACCTATCTATAACCTACTTATAATCTATTAACCTATTAACCTATCAATAACCTACTTATAACCTATTAACCTATCAATAACCTATCTATAACCTATCTATAACCTATTAATCTATCAATAACCTATTTATAACCTATTCTGTTCTCTAATATACCTAAGATACCTAAAAACCATTTAGGTCTAAGCTATTCTTTTAGCAGAATAATCTTAATAGCTTATCTTTCAGTAAAAATAACAGAAGCTTATCTTTAGCTAAAAGAAAAGGATAGTAATAATTAGCAGCTAGGGTAAGCTAAGACTTTAATAAAGTTAGCAGAGGTTTTAGAGTCTTGGTGCTTTTAGAGAAGTAGGGAAGTAGATATATTATATATAGGGTATTATATATCCTGATTAGTATAAAGGATAGGCTTAGGCGTTACTAGTACCAAAGTTAATATATAGCTAGTAGTAAAATAAGTCAAAGCACTATAGACAGCAAGAATTACTAAGGTCTTGGTTAAGACTGTTAAACAAAGAGAATCAAAATTAGAGAGTACTCAGATCTTAGAGGAAAGGTACAGAAAAGATTTAGGCAGCCAGACAGATATAGGTAGTTAGATAGGTACGATACTAATTGGTTATCTTCTGATAAAAAAGTAGGGTACCTATAGGCAGACCATAGAACCTTTGGCTAATATCTAACCTATACTTAATCTAAGACAGAAACTAAGCTAGAGCTTCTATTAAGTATAACTCTATAGAGATTAAATATATTAGTTAAATAAACTATAGAGTTAGATTTCTGAGAGATTTCTTAATTTTATAGTATTTTTAATTCTATCTAGTAACTATATTAAGAATATTAAGTCTTACGGCCTTTGCCTGCTTAGGTCTTACTAGAAAGTAGACTAGGTTATATCTGTAAAAGATATATATCTTTACTTACAGAGGAAAAATACAAACTTAGCCTAAGGCAACACTGATAAAGGGTTATTATATAGCCAGATTAGTCTATAGCCAGGCTAAGCCTACTGTAACCTATATATCCTTTTCTAAATAATATACTTTTTTTTTTACTAAAGATATCCCTACGGCTTACTTTTCAATAGATATCTACTAAACAATATATACAGTAAATCCTAAATCCTTTATATCCTTATTTTAAGTTATCTATAATATACTAATTAAAGGGGGATAAGGAATATAGTAGCCTATATATATACTGGGCTAGATATATTCT